CCAGGTAAGTGTTTTTTATGCTCCAAACGTATTTCGAATCTCTCTGGACAAAAAAGGTCCTCAGCAACTTTTTTTCCAGAGTTGGCCGTTTCCGAGTTACATGCGATTTAATGCCTGAAAACCCCTGAAAATGGGCATTTCCAATGCATGAAAAAATTATTATTTCTGAGGTTGTCAAAAGTTTAAATCAAAGATCAGACTTTCCCGTACAAGACTCGGAAAAGTATTTCAAGCTGAAGTTTCTTTTAAGGCAATTTTTAACCTTGGCTGGTAGATTAACAATGTTTGAACTTAATTTTCGCAGTCTACACGTATATTCCTCGCGCACCTTATTTTACAAAGAAAAAACGGTAATTTTCGCACACGGTAAATCTTCTGGTAGGTACATACACTACAGCTATTTTTTCAAAGTGACTGCGGTTATAGTCGTAAAACGTAACTGTGCGAACGTTATTTGCCGCAAACAGCTGTAGGCCACAAAGGTCGTAACGGATATTTCAATTAAAAATAATTGTCCCAAAGTAGAACAGAAAAATGAGTTAATGAAACGAGTTAGGATCATCTGATGACACTATTTAACGTGAATTTGGCAGAGAAGGTCTAAAAAGAGCTGAAAGATTATGGGGTACCCGTTTACAATATAAATTTGGGCAAATTTGTTTGCAAAATTATATTAATTTGATGTTATAAAAAACAGTAGAACATATTGATATGGTACTTTTCACACACTGATGTCGGCCAAGATATATGCAATTCGCTTGGACCTCTTATTGGAATTTTGCAAAATATTGTACCCCTTCAAAAAATGTTGCTGCTTTCAAAATTCATTAGGAAGTGAACAAACGAGCTTTTGGAGTAACTCAGGTAATGAAAAATAAATTCCGGTGTAGGTAAAACGAGTTAGTGACGCAAATTTGTAGATAACTGTCTGATTTTCCTATCCATCTACATCTTCATTTGTCCGTTGACTAACCATAAATTGTTGCACGCGCACTAGTGTTAACAACTAAGAAAGCACAGTAGAGGAATTTTAGAGCTACATCTAGTGGTGAATCAACAAAGTTATTAATTTTATTAGTCCTCATAATGGTAGGAATCTCATAATCATCTGCTAGATAACATATATTTTGCAATGGATCTAAGTATGATGAACTTTTGATAGTACCATACACAAAAGCATTTCAAAATAAATTTAAACTGTTTAGCACTAAATCTCTTGTGCGTGGGAGGTAAAAATGATCCAGCATTGCATAAGACCAACCGTAGATATTACGCCCGATAGATTAAGACAGCTGCACCCCGTTCTTGTTCTTAATAAGATGAAATTATCAGATTGGACCATATTCAAACCTCTTTCTCAATATGGTCTTGTGCAAACATCGAAACAGCGTATTCTTTCCTTTAAAATTATTTGCATTTCGCCCGAAGACAAAGATAAGAATCAAGTAAGCCGAAGTGTCATGTCGGTAGTAAATAAGGTGTGGTAACTCCATCTGTACAATGTGTGTATGTGTTGTACCTTGCTTTAAACTATTCCATAACTGTTTATTTTTACATGTCCCTCGAACTTGACCCGAGCTTCTGTGTTAAGCGGTCACTGTTCTGTTATGTTTGGAGTATGAATTGCATTTAAAGATTCATTGGTACACATATATCAGAGTGGCTATGTGTTCTGAACAAATCCCTCTGTATTGCATCAATGATGAGATGAACGGTTCTGAAATTCAGACATACATAGTAGTATTTGAATTTGATTCCGCGGATGCGTATAGAACATAATCATTTTTTCACGTCAAACTATGACTACCACAAGCAAAATGCGATCTTCAGCACATGTGGCTGAAGCCCTACTACCTCCACAGCACAGGTAACGTCTGAAGAGAAATTCATAACTTGGAGCAACGGACAGTAGAACATAAAAGATTATCGAGATTACCGAAAGATTACTTTTTGACGTAACATTAACCGATTATTAACTTTGCTAATTCTGTTTGAGAGAATTTTTGTAAATATACCATCCGCTAGCCTGAAGAGGTTGAAGGATAGGAATACGAAACAACTCAATTTCAACGTACTAACATAAGCTACTGCAGAACATCTGAAAGTACCGAAATATTCGCTAAGCATACCTATGAAGTTGAGCTATCTATCATCTAGAGAGGTTCACATCGTTGCCCTGTATAACTGCCAAGAAGAATTTTGAAGATGTCAGGGAGACAACAAGTAATTGACGCGTCTTTCTGTCGATGTAGTAACGAAATTATATTTCTTCTAAGCTCCCCTGCATGGTGCCACCACTTCCTACATAGGTCTGGTAGATCAACTAAACCTCACATCCAAACCTAATCATACACTATGCATATAGAACTGGCTAGTACGACTACATCTTCGTCCTTTCTTAGGGTCAAGAATACGGAACAACTCACCAAAAAAGAGCTTTTCCGATTCTACATCTCTTAATCTGTTCAACATTCAATGTGTTCTATCTAACTGGCTTAAGAATGCGTATTATGGTAGAGGACTCGATTCCGGTGGTTTCGATTCCGATTCTGGTGATTTCAATTCCGACTCCGATTAATTGGATTCCGGTGGTTTCGATTCCGACTAGGACGGCTCTAATTCCGGCTTCTATGATTGTGATTTCAATTCCTCAAAAACCAGTCGGATCGGATTTGAACGAACTGTTAAGGAGGAACAGTGCCGCTCGAGTTCGAATATTGCTGCCACTGCAATAAAAAATTGTCGCACTAGCGCTTTTAATTGAAGCGGCTCCAAATGAGCACCGATCTAAAAGATAATTTGGTATGAAGTAATTGTTGCCATTTCAACATGTATGTGGAATAGGAAAATGTTAAGCAAAGCAAGTACTACTGACATAAGCACACAATTTTCAAACTTGGAATGTATTTTTTTTATATTCTGACATACATATCACTAAAATCCATACCTATGTCCAGCTGCTTAATAATGGTAGAAAGCGGATTGAATTTTATAATTTGTTGTCACCTTTAGCTACGAGGTTCATCTTCAATCGACTCTCTCCCTTCTGAAAATATCTTAATCCTTCCAAAAACCTGGTCTCTTCACAAAACACTGACCTGCTGAAGTTCAGCAAGAGTTTCCGTTGCACTGTGCCCAAGTCTGAAGCAAAACCTGATAGCACACCGTTGCTGGAAATTGATGTCATTCATTTTTAGAACACAATAGGAAAAACTTTCACAAAAAAAACGTTGTTTACCTCTCGATTTTACAGGTTTTTCTATTCTATTTCTATTTTTCTAAATCCCAACTGTAATGTAATTGACTTCATGACGTCATACCTACTCCAACGTAACAAGTGATGACCTCATAGAATCATGAAATTAATTACATCATAGTTGGGGTTTTGAAGAATATTCATGTTACCCAAGGACTGGGTATGCAATTAAAAATATTTCACTTATAATCAGAAAGCAGGGGGTCTTGTCTCCCCCTAACGTTAAGCCGTTAAGATTTTTTTCTTTTTAATAATATATTTCGAATTTCGAAAAATATCATTTATACAAAACTCATGCATCAGATTTTCTTATGGATCCGTGAATTTGATCATATAAATGGCGCTTTTGGGCAATCGGGATGGTTTAAGATGGACAAATTGAGGAAACTGCAGTGTCTATCTCTGGTATATAAGACCCTTCCCCTTGAAGCGGCATATTTTCTTTATACAAAACTATCCCTTCTCTGTCAGTATGATCAAAATTCCTCTAGGAATAAACGCATCTTACTCATCCCGCGGCATTCGACAGCATTGTTCACACGTAGTTTCTCGTACTGGGTACCCAAGCTATACTCGTATAACTGCTTGTCAAGTGACTATGAAAAATATAACCTAAGCAACTTTAAAAAAAGGTTAAAGATGAGCCTAAAGCAATCGGATGGCTAGAATTTAACTTTACGCATATCCACAGGTAATTGATTACACTGATAAACATGACGATAGTACGTCCATCTCTCTTGTACGGCTCCCTGGTCTGGTGGCCTTGCATTAGAAATGAAACAACTAAGGCCAAACTCAATAAAATTCAGCGTTTGGCCTGTATTAGCATTACAAGCGCAGTGCGAACAACGCCATTGAGTGCAATGGAAGCTCTGTTGGATCCCCCACCGTTGGATCTGGTGATCCGCGGTGAAGCGAGAGTAGTCGCTCATCGACTGTGGAGCCAGGGCAGCTGGGCCTTCTTAAATCCTGCCAAGAGGCATACTGCCATCTTAGTCGAATTGCTAAGGGAGGACCCCATCCTACCTAAGCAAGTTTAAGGTGGAGTATCCAACGAGGGATTAGTGGGACACCGGTAACGGGCAGGTCTGGTACACGGACGGCTCGGTCACCGAAGAGGGCTCAGGTGCTGGGGTCTCTGGGCCTAGAACTAGGCTATCTCTGCCTCTCGGTGGATACACCACTATTTTCCAGGCGGAAATATTTGCGATTCTGGCTTGTGTATCTCGCATTCTGGAGGAGGGTGGGCCTAGGAGAAGAATAACAATCTTATCCGACAGCCAGGCTGCAATGAAAGCACTAAGTGCCTGTAAGATTACTTCGAGTCTTGTATTATAATGCAGGGAGGCTCTGGATCGCCTCACAGCGATGCATCTGGTATCGTTATCGTGGGTACCGGGGCACGCTGGGATAAGGGACAATGAGACGGAGGACGCTCTCAGCCAGCGTGTATAGAGCTAGGAGCAAAATGGAGACGTGGGTTGTAAGACTCTCAGAAATGGAGAAGTATCTCCAGACATCTCCGCCAGGCACGGGAACTCATTGAAGGGCCCAGTGCTAAGGATGGACGTTTCTGCTTATCTCTGGATAGAGCCAACCTGGCAAGGCGCGCACTGAGATGGTGAGCAAGTGACGTGGTAGTGGCGCGGTGATCAAGTGGCAGGTGGAATCGCTAAAGCCTATATAAACAAATGAAGACGCGCGTATCAAAATGGAGTAGCGGTGGCGTGGCATTTTGTAGGTGGCGTGATGTCAGTCTGGTGCCACTAATCTCGAGCAAGTTTAATTTTCGACTGGCAAGCGGTTGGTGACGACGACGCGACGTGGGTTTTTGTTTACTTTTTCCTGGAGTGAATCATGCGAGACGACCACGAATTGTACATTAATTTTGTAGCCCTTGTAGAGGCATATCCCTGTCTGTATGACAATACACGGGAGGATTATCATATGATCCATGTGCAAGAACGGGCTTGGGCAAAAATTGCAAAAGACATTGGGGAAGGAGGTAAGTAATAAAAAAATGTGGTGCCTTGAAAAATATATTTTTTTAATTAAAGGCATTATTTAGTTATCTTTTTATTCTGTTAATATTGGTATCTTCTTGTTTTCATACACAAAATCGTTTTTGACCTTTAAGTGACCCGTCCACTGTTAAAAAAAAATCACAAAGTTTCTCCCGTCTAGCAATTGCTGGATTGGTAGCTCTTCTTTGATTTGAGAGTCTCGGATAAGGCTGTTCCTCATTTTCTACTTCTATGTCATCATCATTTCCTTTCTTTCCTCGCGGGCGCGAAAATATACCTTCCTCTTTTTCAATAAAATTATGCAGTAAGCAGACTGCTTTAACAATATTGTCCACTGTATTTATATTAAGACCAATTGTTGTGTGTAAAATTCTGAACTTGGATGACATCATTCCAAATGAGCATTCAACTGATTTGCGACCTCTTGATAACCTACCATTGAATACCCATTTTCTATTTGTTAAGCCTCTTTTAGGGTAGGGTTTCATTATAGTACACATCAATGGAAAAGCTTCGTCTGCAGCAAAATAAAATGGAAAATTTGTGTCTTGTCCTGGTAATGGAGATGGGTCTGGCAGGTCTAACGTGCTGTTAACTAATTTCTTTCCAAAATTACTTTCTCTTAATGCCCTCCCGTCACTATTTCGGCCGTACGCACCAACATCAATGGTCAAGAAACAGCCATCTGCGTCTGATACAGCCATCAAAACAATGGAAAAGTACCCTTTGTAATTAATAAATTCGGAACCTGATTTTGGTGGACGTTTGATCCTGATATGTTTACCGTCTATACTCCCCACACAATTTGGTAAATTCCATAACTCCCAGTATCTTCGAGCTGATTGTACCCATGTTTCTTTGATAGGATTAGGAAGATAAGTTGGTTGTAGAACTTTCCAAATTACTACTGAAGTTCTTGCAATTATTTCTCTAATGGTAGTATGACCTCTCAAAAAATAACATGATAGTGCCTTTAGATTGCAGCCGGTTGCGAAATACCTGGAAAGAAAAACAATAATTAAGTAGGTACTTTATTTTACCAAACAAAGTGTGGAAGTGGTGGTTTTCCCCACATCACGGCATTTTGGTTTTAAAAATATAAAAAATTACATATTAATTGGCGTTATTTCACTTTTTTTTAATAGTGTTCGAAAGCGTAAAAACGTGAATATTAATAACAATATTATTAATAATTATAATAATAGCAAGCAATAAAGTAAACTTTACACACACATTATGCTCAGCACGCTTCATTTGTATATCTTAATGATGTGTTTTTATTGTAGCTACCATCGCAGATTGCAAAAAAAGGTGGAAGAATTTACGTGGAAGTTACACGAAACATTTAAAGACATACATGCCATCTGGATCTGGAGCATCGGTAAAACGCCCATACTATCTCTCGGAGTACATATGTTTTGTTTTACCGCCAACCGAAAGGAAATGTTGACGCACCATAGAATATTGAAACGGCCGATATAATTCATTAAGAATAAATTACGGAGGACCTAGAGACCGAAGAGCTTGAAACTCAACAATTAGGAAGTCCAAAAATTGGAAATTACAAAAACAACCAAGGGAGAAATGACGATATTGATGATGAACAGTCGATTCCTGAAGAATTTAACGAGCCTGTATCAAATATCTCAGACAGACAGTTTGGAAAAAAATGATTCTGGAGATCCAAAGCAAAAAACACAAAAGAGAAGTGTATCCAGTTCGTCAGTACCTAGTGTAAATAATCCTAAAAGAAATAAAACTACTCCGAATCAAATATCTTTGGCAGATCTTAACAAATCTGCCTTTGAATTTTTTGAAAAAAAGAAGCAAGCACCGTATAAACCACCTGCTTTCACTAATGATGATGCCGATGTGCAGTTTTTGTTGAGTCTATTGCCCGATTTAAAAAAAATGACAGACAAGCAGAAAAGAAAATATAAAGTGGGAGTCCTAAATCTTGCCGGTGAAATCTTGGATGAGCCTGTAGTGTCTCATATTTCTGCACCTCTCTTCTCCCCAACGTCTAGTTATTCATCGCTTGCTGCAGACAGCATACCTTCTACCCGTTCCTCTTCAGCATGTACCAGCTCTATTCGACCTCAATGTGAGACAGCTGATTCGCGGACATATGAAGATATTTCGTTTTCAACAGTACGTCGGACATCCAGTTCAGTATAATAACCCATTATTACCAGATCATGAATTTGCTTTTTAAGAATAATGTTGTACAATAAGTTTGTATCTGAATAGTAAATATATCTGTATTTATATAGTAACTTGCTAAAAGTCTCTTTCTTCATTCGATAGAAAAGTTTAAATTTTTGGTCGTCCAAGTTCAAATCCTTTTTATAAACATTAAAAATTCCAAACTTTTTATTTTTTTGCCACAGCGGATGAACCCAATGCCGTTTTTTCTTCGTCTCCTGACTTATAGCATTTAGATTAACAAGTTGCATAAATAAAAGGGCATCTTCATCTTCTGAGGACGACATGGTAAGCCGGTGACATCAACTGACTTGTTTGCCACTTCAGTGCGCTTTATATCACTTTCATACCACTTCGCCGCTATTCCGATCGCCACGCCAAATTTTACCATCCCTATGCCTCTCACCACTCCAATACCTCACCACTACCACACTACCTCAGTGCGCGCCTTGCCTAAGGTTGCTGGTGGGACTGTTGTCTGGCCATAGCATCTTCTTGATACGTGGGTACGTAGATGTACAGATCGTCTCCGTAAATATTTGTAGTTTTATATAGTTATAAGTGCCACTTTCGTCCAGATTTTTGTTGTGCAGTCAGATAAGTAGATTGACATTGCATTGCAAAAGTGTCATGTCCAGTTCTGCTGGGGTGATGATGTTGTGATTAATTATATGTATCACTCGAATTCTGAGGATAATTTGGTGCAAAAGTGACGAGCAGATAGCTGTTTATTTTTTTTTTTTTTGTGAACCAGTGGCGTACGCCCAGTTCCAATGGTGCAGGGAGCGGTATGTCGGGAAAAAATAAACCGCCAGACATAGAAAGAAGATGTGAAGTGTGTGATGAGGAGATCCGTAAAGGAGGTGCTAAGGTAATGTGTAGCAATGTAAGCTGCGGAATCACCCTCCATCAAAAGTGCTTTGCCTCAATTGCTAAGGTTATTAAGTTAGACAAAGCTGAATGGTTGTGCAAAAATTGTGACGAAGAAAGCGATTCTTCGATTAACACTGTAATAACATCTGATGGAGATTTGTCAAGGGAGTTAACTACGGTTAAACATGATGTGCAAATTTTGACTGACCTTGTGAATGAACTTAAACGTGCAAATGAGATTTTGTTGGATAAAATTGAGCAACTAACAGTCAATAACACAAACACCTTATCAAATTAGGAATCCCATATCTTATAGTCAAGCTGTTTCGACGAATGTGAAAAATGAGACCAAATCTGTATTGGTTATAACTTCAAAAAGTGATAAAGAAACAAACATGGATGTCTTAAAAAATATAAAGGCTAACGTTAATCCAGCAACTGAAAAAATTAGTATTAGCAGCACCAAACTTGTGAAACAGGGAATGCTCGTAAAATGTGCAAATGATGAATCTTTACAGAAACTAAAAGCAATAGTTGAGGAAAAATTCAGTCGTCAGTATAAAATAACTACACCTAAATCTTTCAAGCCCCGTGTCTTAGTTTCTGATGTGGATAAATCTCTTGATAACAATGATGATTTTATTCAGTCGTTGGTGCAAAACAATACATTTCTGGTTGATTGCGACATAAAGATAATAACTATGCTGAAGTTAAAATATTCTTTAAGTTATGTCATAGAAGTGGACCCGGAGGTAAGAAAAAGAATAATTTCTCAAGGCTGTTTGTAGACGTCTTGGAGAAAATGTCACGTCCGTGATCATATATCGCTAATCAGGTGCTTCAATTGCTCTCGGTTTGGTCACCTAAAAAAAGATTGTAAGAGTAAACCCTTGTGTGCAACTTGTTCCAATGAACATGATGTTAAAACCTGCGAATCTAGTATTAAAAAATGCGTAAACTGTTCGGCATATAACGACTACATGCTGAGTCGTTCTAGAAACTATAAGCCTTCTCCTGTAGACCATGCATCATCAGATACCCAATGTCCATGCTTTTTAAGGAGACTAGCACAAATTAAATCCAGAATTGATTATGGCTAAATCAATAAAAAATATTTTAAAAATATGCCATTTAAATGTACGTTCTTTAACGGCTGCCTTTAATGAATTCTCATCTCTTGTACGATGCAAGTTTGATATTGTAGCAGTCACTGAAACATGGCTCCATTCAAACATTGATAGCACTGCTGTCAGTATGCATGGGTATAGCTTCTTCCGTAAAGATCGGGGGAGTAGAGGGGGTGGCGTCGGTCTGTATGTTAAAGTCGGTTTTAATAGTAGCGTTATTCCAGTTGAGTTCTATGATTTTGTAATTCCCCTGGAAATTTTATGCTGCAAATTTAAACTACTGGGAAAAAGTATGCTAATTGTTGTGGTATATCGGCCACCACATTGTTCTATATCTCAAGCTATCCAATCCTTAGAAAACTTGATCGCATTTTTCACACCCCAATATGATAGTATTGTATTTTTAGGAGATATGAATGTTGACTTGCTTGCGCATAATAATATCCTTAGCAGCTGTTTTGATTCTTTCAATTTCTTTCAAGTCATTAATGAGCCTACACGAGTTACAGCTTTCAGCTCCACATTAATTGACCCCATTTTTGTAAGTGACAGTACTATAGTAAAGAAGTCTGGGACACTTAATGCAGACTCGATTAGTGATCACCGACTTGTTTTCTGCGAGATCTCCATTAGTAGTAATAAAATAGAGCCCAAATTTGTAGCATATCGGGATCTCAAAAGCATTGATATCCCTAGTTTTAAGACGCAGATCGCTTCATTGCAGCTTGACGATATATATTACGTAGATGATGTTGATACTAAAGTCTCTATTTTTACTAACCGTCTTATGCATCTTTTTGATATTTACGCACCACTACGTACAGTGCGAGTCACAAAGCCTGCTGCACCCTGGCTAACTCCTAATTTAAAAATAATATTTCAACTAAGAGATGATGCATTAGCAGTATTTCAGAATAACAGATCTGCACAAAACTGGGAATACTACAAGGATTTGAGAAACTTTGCTCTAGCATCTCTGAGAAGAGAAAAAAAAGCATATATGTCTCGTTTCAGTAACTTAAACTCTAGTCAAGCGTGGAAAGAGCTAAGGAGGATGGATGTGGTTGCACAAAAGCGTGTTGCGATACCGCCAAGTTTACTTGATCCTAACGATTTAAATAACTACTTTCTTTCAATTTTCCAGGCAGCTGTAACTGATTCTAACTTGATTGATCGTGTTTCTAACAGCTACAGCAATAGGCGTTATATACCAAGGGCACCTCTATTCGTATTTAAACTGCTCACTCAGCAAGACATTCTTAACATAATTAGTAATATTAAGTCTACGGCCTGTGGTTCAGATGGTTTAAGTTTAAATATGGTTTGCTTATGTCTGTCCGAGATTATCGATTACATAACGCATGTTATTAATATCTGCCTTGAAAGTGGTTATTATCCAGCCAGCTGGAAAAATGCTATAATTATTCCACTAGCCAAACACAATTGTCCAGAGCAACATTCTGATCTTAGACCAATCAGCCTGTTATGCTTTCTATCAAAAATACTAGAGAAAGCTGTCTACTCTCAACTGGTGGAGTTTTTTGAACAGAATAACTTATTTCCTCAATGTCAGTCGGGTTTCAGGTCTGGTCACAGCACGACCTCGTCGTTATTAAATCTCACTGACTCTATGATCTATAATTTGGATAATCACATCAACACCGTATTGATACTGCTAGATTTCTCGAAAGCCTTTGACATGGTCAATCACCAGATACTATTGAGTAAATTGTCTTACTATGGTATGTCAGATATAGTTGTAAAGTTCTTCGAGTCATACTTGCTTGATCGGCAACAAACTGTGAAAACTGAACAGGGCATGTCCACTACGAAGCCGGTTTCTTCAGGAGTTCCTCAGGGTTCTGTGCTTGGTCCCTTATTATATCTGATATACACTGCCGATTTGCAAGATTGTATAGTCCATTCAGCCATGCATACTTACGCGGATGATACTCAGTTGGTGTTTGCCTTTGATCCGTCAGAGGTTGACGAGGTTTCTTTCAAAATCAATTTGGACAGGACTAACGTGAACGATTATTGCAAGAAACACTGTCTTAAAATAAATCCTAAGAAGACTACTGCTATGTTGTTTTGTTCGAAAAATTCCTATCCAGTTGTGAAGGAGAGAATTAATATTGTGTTGGATCAAACACTCATCCCTCTTGTTGACTATACTAAAAACCTCGGAATAACTCTCGACAAAAACATGAGGTTTGATCATCACGTTTCATATTTGTCGAGAGTAACGTATATGCGCTTGAAACTTCTACATTCAAGTCGACATATTTTAAATTTTAAAACCCGTAAAAAGCTTTGCGAAACTCTTGTATTGTCAATTATATCTTATTCTCTTGTCCTCTATTATCCATGTTTAGATTATAATAACAAATGTAAGCTTCAGAAAATTCAAAACAGCTGCTGTAGGTTTATATTTGGTCTCCGTAGGTTCAGTCACGTTTCGGATAAAATCAGAGAACTCAACTGGCTGAAAATTGATAAACTATTTTTATATTTATTGAACGTCTTAACTCATAAAGTTCTGCTAACAAACAGACCGGCCTATCTTTTTAGCAAATTGATACCTCGTGGTAACTTCGTACCAAGGACTCTTAGATTTAATATTAATTTTAATATGCCGCTCCACAACACTTTTATCTTTGAAAGGAGTTATACCTATAATGCTGTTAAACATTACAATGCTCTTAACCATTCGCATCGATCCAAGCCAGTCTCTTCTTTTAAGAAATTAATGAAAAATCAGTTGCTGGAAACAAGTTAGTTCTCTGTGTTTATATACATATATATGTATATATATATATATATATATATATGTATATATGTATATATGATTGTCTTTTCCTGATTGTTTTGTGTATCTGTCGTTCATTTAATGAAACTATGTTGTTCTTAATTACTTTTTTTTGTAACATGTGTATGTATTTTTCTTTCTTTTTCTCTGCTTTGGGGTTAAGTGGAGGAGTAGCCGTCTGGCTAAACTTCGCCTCACTGCAGATAATAAAGGCATTATTATTATTATTATTATAACACGTTAAGGCGCCACCTCCACGTGATGGGGGTGGCTGAGGATCCCTTGTGTGAGCGCTGCGGGGTAGAGGAAGAGACCTAGGCGCATGTTTTGTGTCGCTGTGAAGCTCTGAGCCACTATAGGCAGACTATACTGGGGTCCATTACTTTGGACCCTCAGAACGTCAAGGAGCTTGGACTCAAGGCGATTCTCAACTTCGCTAAAAGGGCGAGGCTTGTGATCTAAGGCATGTAGAGGTGCATAAGGGCCCGCTTAAGCAGCCTATGCACTGGCTCCTTATGGTGGCCGGGATGCCTCTAATTTCACGATTCATTCATTAATAGACTGATAAACACAGGATTTGTGACATGACAATTTTTGGGTGAATCGCATGTATCTTGAGACCCTTAAATCAAATCTAAAAACAGAATTTTTCTATCACCCACAGATTTTTTTATACTTCAACTACCACGAAGGCCTAAGGCCTAAACACCCATTGGGTACCGTGGGGCTATAGGAGGATACATGGGAAAGGGGGAACGCCACACGGACTCTGGCGAGGGAACACCTGTGCATGCAACATGCATACATTCTGGCTCCGCCTACGAGATCCGCCGGGTGGTACCTCCGCGTTCGACAGTCAGACAACGTCTACCACCTACGGACAATCACTGCTGTCTGACCACCGCTACTGCCTGATATTGACGAGATATTCGGTAACATCCACTTTTATGAATTACAATACGTATTATCTCATATTGCTGCATTTCTCGGCGTTTATGTGTAGACGTACATACCTATATAATGTTAAGACCTGTCTATTCCTGTTTATTATATTTCAACTCTATGTTTGGAGAGCATATTGCGTTTATTAGTAGACTAATAGCAGCAGAGTCAGTTACATTTTCTGTGTTGAAGAGCAGAGATGTTCTGAGTTCTGTTAATTTTTGTTAAAACTATGGGCCCCAAGGCGACAATCGTAAAATGTCCGTTGCGGTACCAATGGTTTGGAGAGAACCGATAGACCATACTACTGATTGCTATTTTTGCCTCACAAATATTAAAGGTTTTGGACCAAAATCGAAACATACTGTTAAGTATTTTAATTTACCAGATTTGTGGCCCGTTAAGCATAGTGATGAACTT